TTGTGAATTATAATATTTTTTTTCAGATTGAATACGATAATGCCGACTGGTCACTATTATAGTCAAGAAACAAAAGAAGTAATATTCAATGTAATTCAATTTATTGAAGGGGAGAAAAATGGACCAAAAATACCATTATATAATGTCAATGATCGTATAATGGCTGCACTTCAAGTATCGCATGGTTCAATGGCGAAATTGAAAAATGAAATGAAACAGCTACAAGAAGAGCAACAAATGGTTCTGGAACATAAGTTACTTGAACAACAACACCAACAGCAACACCAACCATATGTACTTGCACAAAAATATAAAACTGAGCGTTTGCGTCCACGATCATCATCACCATTTATAACACCAAAAAATGATCATTTTACAAGTATGGATACTCCTCGTACAGCTTCGCAATCACCGTTAAAACATGGTGGCGGAGCTAGTTTGAAAATTTCTTTAACTGAATATGAAGAAGATTTGATAAGACAAGTTTCTACTGATTCATCTTTTCCATCTCAATAGTTGATCTCAATTGTTTAGATATTATTTTCATCTGATGTTGTCTGAAAAAATATATCCAAATACGAGCAAATTGCTTACTCGCATTCGCACCGACAATCCAGACTTTCCAATGAAAAGTATCACGTCACTATGGAGAGTGATGAAGAAACTTGGATTCTCATACAAAAGAACAAGCAAAATACGTGTACCAATGGATTCTATAATGTTTATGGCACAAAGAGCCTCGTATTTTCGAAAGTTAGATGAAATTCGTCGGAATGGAACATTGATATATTGTCAGTAACTACCAATTGTTCTTTGCGTTTTCAAGTACTCTGTTTCGTTTAGTGATGAAGCATGGATCAATTGTGGAGAGGAAAAACGAGTCATCTGGGTTGATGAGCATGGTAAAGGGAGAATACGCACAAATCATGGAAAGGGTAAACTTCCTTTTAAATTGATATAGTATAAAAACTGATGAAAACATGCAATTTAGGAACTCGTCTTGCTATAAGTGCGCTGATAAATGAGAATGGCTTTCACCAGAGCTGGGCAAGTACGGACTTTTTCGAGTACGAGTACGAGTACGAGTACGAGTACCGAACCCTCGAGTACGAGTATGAGTACGAGTA